GGGGGGGGGACAGCTAGCCTCGCTCTGGCCAATGGTAACAAAATTGGCCTACTATCAACTCTAAAAATGGTGTTTCGTAATATTGGCAGCGAGAGCATCAAGTTAGCAAACTAATTGTGTGTTTGGACGCTGTCTCTCTGCTCAGTGAAACACAGAGATCAAAGGAGAGGAGAGAAACTAGCGCGACAGTAAATGCTAATGCTAGGTTAAACACTGATGCTAATAGGCACGTTCCCCTTAATGCCAAACTATTCCTTTAAGTGAATCCTCTGTTTCTTTCGTAGCAATTTTTGTACGTGTGTAGTCTAACTGAATCCAGTCATATTATTTTTGTATGCTTATGTCTTCAGTGAACAGACTGAAATCCACCACCGATGTATGTCGTAAACATGTTGACCACTGAGAACAGATAATATCAGGTGTCTGGATTATATGTTTTACTGGTGGAACAATGTCTTTTATTTTCCTGTTGTATTTATTGGTTAGATTTGCAATTGAACATTTGTTGTTCTGTACTAGATTGTTGAAAATAACTTTGTTTTTACAGGAGCCTCAAGAGTTGAGTAAAGTATAAAGATTTAATTTTCATAACTACGTTGATTCTGTTATTGTCATGTGATAATGTCTTAAATAGAGCAAGCTGTGCCTAAATGTGTTGATCACAGGTGCGTGCTTGTCTGTGTTGTTGATGTTTTGACTTTGGATTTACCAGAAGCTGAAAGGCATTGTGGGAGATTTTAGGGCATGCGAGAGTACACTCCACAGTCAGCCAAGTACACGCTAATACCTTAACTGCACACCCACACAAACACACCCGGGGAGGGAGAGAGAGAGAGCGAGAGAGAGAGAGAGAGAGAGACACACAACAGCTTTAGAGAGGATTTGCTCCGTATTAACCCCGAGAGGGGACAGAGACAGCTGGAGTATGACAGACGGACTCGACAGGAGCGTTTTGAACACACACAGACAACTTTTTATGTTTTATTCTGCACAAAACTACAGTGCAGGATGAGTGCAGCAGTGGGATTAAAGCGCGAGGCAGTGCAGGTTGAAGCAGGTGTCCTGGAAGCAACAGCCGATGACTCCGCAGACACTACAAGTAAAGAGGAATAACAATAAAACAGTGCCGTGTGTGTTCTGCAGGAAGATGTCGACCTGAGAAAAGTTTCACCACCGGATGTTGCACGGAGCAGAATGGGACACACTCATGTGCCGCTCATGTACACTTACACGCGCTCCCACGGGGATAAACGCAGGTCCAGTCGACTGCAGCCCTCCATGCCAAACTGTGAGTGGAACAGTATTGTGATTGGTATTTAACTGTGTGAAATCGTGGTATCTTGATAATGATGTTACTGTGAGTGTCATGTCTTTTATTCATTCATTCATAGAAGCTACACTTTTCCTTTCCAGTGCCTTTCTTCATGCATGGGACTTGCTGCTGTAATACCGTTGGCCACTGAGCGGCTTAATTAGACAAGTTAAGGGTTTACTGTCTGATGGCAGTTTTTGAAGGGAGGAAAATTGTATTAATTCACAGCTTGTTAAAAGGCCTCTGAACATCCACACAGGTGTTTTTAATTATTATTCTGGCTGAGGAAGGTGGAGCTATGATGATCTTCATCAACCAATCAGAATCATACAGGTGCAATTTGTCCCGCCCTAACAGGTGCAACAACGCTAAACGGGAGAGTCGGGACCCATAGAAGAGGTCTAATCAGCCAGTTAACTGAAAACACCTGTGTGGCTGTTCAGATCCAAACTTGTGATCTTTCTTAAAGGATCATGCCAGTGTTATACTTTAACTCTTCAATAAAAAGAAACAAACGTGCACTTTAAATGTATTGCTGAACATCATCGTTGATATTGTTAATGTATTTTTCATATCATTCTACGCAGCCATTGTTTCCTACTGACTAAAACTACTACTATAGTCCTTATTAAGTCCCCTGATAAGCCTTCACATGCTTGTGTCCTCAGTTACTGGTCTGGTGTTTGCTGAAGTAAGCGCTGGGGAGAATACAGTGATTACAGCTAATCACAATGCGTCACTGGCTTCTGTTTTAAGTTAATTACGGGACCAATTAAAAAAAGAATCTGGTCGGAGACTGGAGGGTTTTTTCTATTTGTACAGACGAGCCGGGAGAGTCGGAGCAGAGAAGTGCTCACTGTTTATTGTGTCCTTGACAAGCACTCACCATTAGGCCGGTCAGCTCACCAGTATGACATTGTTGTGGGCGGCCGTCTATCGTCTGGTGCTCGAACTCTACTTCAGAAATGTTTTAATTAATTTCCATGAGTAAATCATTGAATGAATTATGTTCAAATAGTCAAATCAAGATATTCATTCTCCCTTTCTGGTTATTAGCTTTTGGTGAACCCCTTACATTTTCATCTGGATCTATTACATTTTATTTGCCCAGTACTTATGATCAAATATCTGCAAAACTAATGCGATTCTCACCCACCTCTACTGTACTTTAAGTGCTAATAAGCAAACGGTAGCACGCTCACACTAGACTTAAGATAGTGATAATTATAGACAATAAAGCTGCTAAACATCACCATGTTAGCATGCCGATGTTAGCCTTTAGCCTCACAGAGCTACTTTGCGTGGCTGTGGACTCTTTTAATCTTGTTCAAAGCGCCAAAAAGACCAACTATACACTCAAGAGATGCTCATTGGGTCCACACCAGAGAGACATCTAATTGTTTTGCAAGTATAATGTGTAATAAAGTGTTTCTTTTCCCCTCGTTTTATGAACAGCCTTTCTTATTTCTCACCCAACTGTGATGACTTTGAGGTTTTGTGACTCCTAATATGACTCGCCTTTCCCCCCCATCTCCCCAACAGACAACCTGAACAATGCGTTAGGCGCTATCGGAGTCCTCGGTTTGGAACTGATCGCAGACGAACTCAAACCACATCTGAACACGGTGCTGACCAACATTAAGGAGAGGAGTGAGTTCATATCCTCTCTTTTACACCGTGATGCCTCATTTATAATTGAAATATATATTTAAGCTATGTTCAGGCTATGCTATCCCTCAAGCCTCAACTGTAGCACTATCTGACAGCATTGAATATATCAAAGCATCTTTTCAGTTTCTTTCGTCTTCCATTTGACGTGATTTGAATTGCAAAAACCTGACAGTCCTGCTGCCACACTTCATTTACATATTGATGTCTTTCCATACATGTATCCTTTAAGACATAATGCCTCCCACTCTGAGTGGCAGCTATATCATAACAGCTCCCCATTTTGAATGATAAAACCTGTGGCAAAAAAGCCCCACACCGGTAAGAGATGGGGAGCTGTGGGTTGAGAGGCTGTGAAGGGATCAAGGGTATGACAGTCATAAGTCCTCGGTAGACGTTAAGCTGTATTTGTGTCCCCTAGCAAGGGGAGCAACCGGGGGATAGAGAGGCAGCGGAGATAAAGACTTTGAAATGAAGGCTGGAACAGATTCAATTCAGTGCTGCTACAACGATTAAAAGGAACAAATCGTATCAATTTAAAAAGCTTGATATGATTTATAAAGACACACTTTTCTTTGGCTTTATAAAGTGATTATATAGATGTTATGTTTGTTGTGTAATTGAATCAGTGATTTGTTTACATCTGTCCAGAGAAAGGTGCCGCTGAGCAGGTAGTGATCAGTGGGATCCTGCCAATCCTGGCCCTGTCCCTGAGGAGCAGGGGGCCTCTCACTGTGCTGACCGCAAAACTGGTGGCTGAACTCGCCAAGGAATGTAAGTTATTTCTGCAGATATATGTTGGTCTACAATCTATTAGAACACAGTATGTTTAAGCCTGTTGGATCTTCTTCATACCTTATATATAAATTTTTTTTTATCAGTTCAGTTTGACCTCCAGTGATTGAGACTTTGTTTCCTGTCAGCTGTGGTTCGTAAAGGTTTCGGCGACGCGGGTTTGGTTACGGCTCTGCTGTCCGTGCTGACCAGTCCAGACCAAGAACTGCTCCTTCACGCTGCAAGAGCCATCTCACGCATGTCTTATGACAGCTGTAAGTAAAGTAAACCAATCAATGTCGTTTAATAATTATGTGTGTGCGCGTGAGACTTTGCATTTCACAATTTAGACATCAGGTCAAAGTTCGCCAGTGCTGTAACGCAATGTCTAATAAAATGTCTATGTCCCTGTCACCCTCAGCTAAGCTACAGGAACAGTTGCTACGTCGAGGTGCAGTGCCCCGTCTCGTTGCCATCCTGCTCCGCTTCCCTGACAAGGAGGCCCTGGAGGAAGTGTGCCTTCAGGCCCTCTGTAACCTCAGTGGTATGGGGGTGGCAGAGGAGGCCGGCATGGTCTGGGAGAGGGGGACGTCTGTGAGGCCGGGGGAGTCCGTCTTTCATGGCGTTTCGCCTCACACATGTGGTTTTGCCTCCTCCGTGACTCTGGTGTGCGTGTCTCAATGGGCGCCGGGTCAATACGCGGTCAACATCGAGGTCTTCCAGCGCTGCTCCTCCTCTCTCTGGAGCCTTCACGGGAACAAACGGCCGGCTCGTTGGTTCACGTTCTCCGGCTTGGGAAGCTGCTCAAATCTGTACAAGGTGATCAAGTTCTCTACGAAGAATGTTTCTCGAACCAAAAGTCTGAAGACTCGCGTGTTCCACACTTTCCTCTGACAGCGTAAATACTGCAGACTGACCTAAGTGGCACATACAACCCTGAGGGGATTACTGCAACCCCTCCACTAACTACTAGTACACACTAAAACATCAGGGGAATGTTTACACACCATGAACCTGCACACTCGGACATATTCAAACTGCAAAAAATGCTATATATCCGTGGAAATTATGGATCCAAACATGAAACCCTTAAAGATGAATGTTATAATGATGTCCTTGCTGTTGATTTGTTCACAAGTGCTTCAAATAATTGTGAAATTCTTTCCTAGGCAGCAATATTGATAATGTTCTTTTTTTACAGTGCAAGTAAATCTTTTTTGATAACTGCTCACTCAGTTTTATTGATCGGAGACACCCACTGTAAACAATAAAACACTTTGACTTATATGTGCATCCTTTGCTGTTAAATACTTATATTTTATGTGAGAAAATTGTTTATGTTCTGTTAATTCAAATGAAAGGTCGAAGTCTTTCTATGCACACAAAAGAGTTTTTCCTCTCAAATTTCGACAGGTGCGGCATATCAAGAGGCTGATTAAACAGCAGGATTACTGAGCAGGTGTACCTTGGGCAGGGAGCTTGCAGTTGGCACGCTGGCTGTGGGAATGTCCACCAGTCTCCAGTGTTGTTTCTGAGACAACTGCATACCACGTGTAACCACGCCAGCAAACTTTTCCTGTGTGTGTAAAACTTGTCTGCATGCTCAACGTCTTCACTGTTGTCTTGACCGACTTGAGTGCGTACATGCCCACGTGCGATGATGTCTGCCACTAAATCCCATGACACCAAAAAGAGCATCTCTGTAGCCCGAGTCGTGTCATAACCTGTAGTTCAGAGTGCTTAATAAATGTATTTTTTAAAGCTAAAACTGCACATATTAGAGTGTCTCTTGAACAATGTTACACACACCTGTTTAATCAGTATCTTGAAAATTAACACATTTTAACAAATTTGTACACAGAATTTGAAAGAGATAACTTTTGTATGCATAGAAAATACTTGTAACTCGCAAAAAAATGGGAGTGGAAACAAGAGTCAACATCTTTGAGTGTATTCGGCCATGTGCAGCCTTTCTGGACCAACTTGATTACTAGAGTTAAACACTAGATGGCATGCACCTGCTTTATAGAAACCTTTATAGTGCAATATTAAAGAATTAGAGCACCAGTTTGTGACTTTGCACACATGGACTGAATCTAATAATAACAAGCTGCCTTGCTGCACATATTCGTGGATATGCTCAGATATTTACGTAGATTTAATTTGTTGACTTTCACTTGCTTCTATAAAAGTGGTTTGTGATGGCGTCTAAGTTAAATAGTGCTCTTGCCCTTTGACCGCAGAGTATCCCCCTCTCAGTGTTTCTCCCGTTTCTCTTCCTCTAATCACGTCTCTTATTGGTTCCATCCTGCTCCAGGCGTCCAAACGCAGGGGCGTGTCCTCTAATCAATCCTAACTTTATTACTCTGGGAGACACTTAAATATTTGATGTGATAGAGACGAGTCTTTGGAATTAGTAACCGGTAGACAATTCTTGACTAACTTAATCTGGTGGAAAATTGGTTCACTGTGTGCTTGTTAAAGTGGAACAAAACATATTTACATAAAAAAAACAGCATTATAGATAGACAAACAGGCATCAATATTCTCATTATAGGAGATAATTAGTGCATTTATGCCTGTGTAAATCAGACCAAACACGTTTTATATGCTCCACGTTGTATGCGGGCCAGTAGCAAAGTCCAAATGCTTCAATTATACAATCTGAAAAAAATAATTACAGTAAATATTAGAAGATGTAAATGTTTCCTTTAGTTTTCTTCTGTTTTTTAAAGAACTCGGAACACAAATTATATATTTCCGGGATCGTCAACGATTCAGTCAGTTGCATGATGAAAAAGATTTAGAAAAATTTGTGTGCCTCTTTCTCCTAATCTAAACAAAGACGGTAGCTAGATATGACATATCTACTTGCTCTATCAAATAATAAAGAAAATTAGAAATGTATTTTGATGTTTTGATTTAAAAAAACATTTTGATCATCCTCGTCACCGCGGGGAATGAATGTTGGCATTGTAAGTTTCTGCAAACCCCAGATAAATTGACTGTCCATGTTTTTTTTAATCGGTCGAAGCAAGTGACGTAATAAAACTAACGACTGTTATTGAAAGTTATTTGGTATTACAAATATAACAAGTAAAACGAACAGAGGACTTTAACCCAGCAGACCGCAGTTCGAGTCCTGTGTGAAACCAATTGTCAACATTGACTTTACACTTATTACGTAAAATTTGTACATTTGTTAGGTAACGTTACGCTTGTTAACCCTGTGACATATATCAATTTCAGCTTAAAGCTTTACGTTATGTTGCTACGATATGTTGCTACGTTATAACGTAACTAACACAAACCTTAACCAAGTTTCATAACTGTAACCATGTGGCGTTGTGCGTTTCTGTGAGGCTGACATGAAACATATTTTAATATTTAACATCTTTAAGGTTCAAAAAGTTCAACATTCAATGTATCCCATGGTTTGCAGAAACCTAGGGTACAATACCAACACATTTTCAGGCGACTGGGTTCATTTTCATGCAACTCAATATGCTTGTGTTTTACAAAAAACAAAGACATACATGTCATACATTTTTTTGCAGCTGTTGCCTTAGTCTTTGCATAAACACATGAAGTGTTTAATCAATAAGTCCACTTCCACTCTGTTATAGGAGGCCCAGGAAGCCTGCATATATAACTTTTAATATAAGACGTATTAATAATGCATGATGAACTTTGCATTATATGTCCTCAAATCCAGATCACATAGCTGAAGACTGCTTTATTGCTTGTCTTTGCAAATGAGTAATTTAAACTTGAATCCTCTTGTTGATTTCTGCAGAAACAACTGCATGTAATTGCATTAGGATTTCATGACGCAGGGATTCATTTCTCTATTGTGGCCTCAAGTTATTCTTAGCCCGTAGCATCCTTCAGCGATAGACAACAATGATCCACCTTGTTGACTCACAACACACGCTCTCTCTGTTGATATGGAAACACAATCAAACCACACAATATAGTGCCAAACACAGAGACACAGGTAATATGGAATACTTCAACACACAGAGAGACACATTTGGACACAAAACAGCACACACACACCGAACATGCATTTCACTGGACAGTAAATACAATCACTTTGATAGATGCCTCTTGTCTTTTAATATAACGTATTTGATTGTCAGGCAGATAAGATGATGGACCCCTGATTCTCCCCCAGATTCTCACTTATGGACCTCTGGGACAAGGCGATGACATCTCTCATCAGCAGAGACTTCAGAATTAGCGTGACCCAATCAATGCCTCTGTCAAGCGTAAGTGACGTTTTTTGGGACGGATCAATCACGGCTGCATTGTGTGCCATTCTTACATGGGGGCAGCAGCGTCCTCGGCCTTCAGGAGAGAGCTAGTGAGAAGAGTTTAAACCTAAAGCCAGGGGAAAGTGACAGCCTGAAGAATCATCTACTTATTTTCACAGAGCTGACACAATAGCAAGTAGATGGGCCGAAATAAACACTCACAATTTGGCTGCCTAATACTGATTTTTAACAAACCACCACCTATACATCCCTCATGTTTTTCATGTCACTCCATTTATGCGTGTTTCCTGTTTTATTTTGTTACTCACATCTCCTCTCGTCTCAGACCACTTCACCTCTTCCTGCTAGTTTTGATTGTCTGCCCTGATTAGTTTCACCTGTCCCTCGTTAGCCCTGCAGTCACCGAACTCCTGCTCACCTGTTCCCACTCCTCCATTAGTCCCTCACCAGTTACACCAGCTCAGTTCCTTGGTTCTTTGTCAGTTTGTCATTGTTGCATTGTTTGCTTGCGGTTTTGCTGCCTGTTTCCTTGTTGCCTGACCTTTAGATTCGAGAGCTGTAAGCCATCGAACTATGAAGCAAGAAATCTCTGTCTTCTGTAGGTATATCCTTTGCATAGCTCAAGATCCAATCATCTAATGTACTATCCACTTGGTGGGTGTATTGCTGGCAACCCAAGGGAGTGCTGTGTTGAATTTGGTGCAATTTAGACACGCGTCATGTTCAATATTAATGCACTTTGAATAAACAAGCAACACAGGGGGGCGGGGCTTCAAAACTCTGCAGACTGAGTCGAGTATGTTGTCTGCAGCGTGCCGTTCACTTTTGCTGCTGGATGCTGGATATACTAACTTTACGGCCCGCTCCGAGCAGGCGAGCCCGCCTGAGAATGCTTCAAGCAGCAATTTTGGGAGCCAAGCAATGGGCCCGCTCCAAACGGCCACGCTTTCACAACGCCCACTTGTTCCTATTAAATCATTGAATTGTTCCTGCCGCCTCCTCGTCTGTGTCTTAGTTTGAGTACTTCTGCTGCTACCTGCACTCCACATCGTAACAAACCATGACTTCCTGGGTGTCTGGGGAGATTCAACTGAAAGTTTCCATCAACCTCCTGCATGGCTTTACTCACTTCAAGGGGATCCTGTCCTCTCACCTATCTTATTGCAGGCCTATGCTTAGTGAAGATACTTCCCATCAATGGAATCATTGATCATTCAAACCCACTGTTATAGAAACAGGTGAACTCATTGCATTTCTCTTGAGTAGCATCAGCATTACCAAAGTCATGAAAACTTTCTTTTATTCCTTCCCCTCAGTCACTCAAGGCTGCAGTCTTGCCTTGCTAACAGCACTAAAGAAAGCAAGATGAACAACTGCAACCGCTGTGAGGTAACCTTGTGTTTTTCCTGAAAATAATGCAGAGAAAATCTAGCCTTGGCAATAATAAATCATGTTGCACTAAAATGACAATTTGTCAGTAAAGCATTAAAGGATCAGAGGTGGTGATGTCAGTTCAATGAGAAATCTGAGATTTTCACATTTTATTTTTCCATAATGTAAGTTGTTTGGGGTTTTTCTGCATGAAAAACAACATTTCGTATTTTCTGCTGCTAAACTCTGCTGTACCTCGACTGGATATCTCAATGTGATTTCCACATTGTTTATTCACTATT